GAACAGGGAAAAATCTTTGTATTTTCTCTACCCTCCTGGGCATAAAAAGAAAACAATGAGGTAAACAATTACCTCTTCTTACACCCTGCTAGGATTAAACCTCTATTATCCTGGTGGATCAGGATAACAGTTGGATCAGGATAACAGTTGCATATCTTCCAGAAACAGCAACTTAGTATCACGACTCTGATCAAGTGCTCCACATTGCCACGCTACAAACTGTCTGTATGCTGCCTGACTGAACTGTCTGTTACTCTGTCCTGGGTCTGGAAGGTCAGCCTTGTGTGGTGCATGGAAACACTGTAGTCTGGATGTTGTCCAGTCCTCAGATTCTGGCCTGTAAAGGAATATATAGTTGTTAGAACCCCAAGTTGGAAAGGAACGGTGTAATAGGACAGAACATTCATCAACATGATCAGATATTTTTATTGAACAGGGCCTTGTTGTTCTCTAACAGGACTTCTGTGTCCACATTACACACCAGGTCAACGTACATGACACAGATGAGCCGATGGCTGAAGCAGAGCTATGGTTAGTTGTTGTAATCAAACGATAATAAAGTAATTGACAAAACGATAATAAAGTAATTGACAAAACGATAATAAAGTAATTGACAAAAATTGACAGTCAAAGGGCTTAGGGGGAAACACCAGAGAAACTTTGAGACAAGTACACTGGGAGATAATAGACTAATATTAAAATATATATGTATAGATATACCTGTTCATATGCTGTTGTCGCAGGTCCTAGAAGATGTGCTGCTTAGCTTGCACCTCGTCCTCCCCGTCCTGCCTCTTCTTCCTCGGATCCTGGCAGCCCTCCCTCCTCTGCTTCGCCTCGACCCCGAGCCTGTCCCGGTTTGTGCTTGGCTCTGGGGTGCAGTCCTCAGAGACAATAATGCTGTCACCAACACTAAATACACGTTTGTGTAGTGTAACTGATGGAAACGGGAAAATGTGTATCAGGCTGTTTTTACCTTTGCCCAATGTTACCGCAGCTGTTAGCACAGCTACCTGTTGCTAGTAGTTAGCTAGCCAGCTCGTTACTGATTAAAACTCTTCTTTTTAAACCTATCCAATAATAACATGCTAGCTTGATAGTGAGTACTAACAGCTGGGTTGTTTATTTTCATAATGATAAAGTTAGATGATTTCTTACCCCTGATGTGAGCGCTGCTCTCCGCTCGTCACACTGTCCTCGTCCTCCTGCGGTGTCGGCAACGCGCGTTCACGTGTTTTGAGGGCGTGGATTTGGAAGGAGCCCAGAAGGGAGGGGGTGTCAGTAGTCATCTTGGAGGTGTATTTGGGGTCGTTATCATGTTGGAATACTGCCCTGCTGCACAGTCTCCGAAGGGAGGGGATCATTCTCTGCTTCAGTATGTCACAGTACATGTTGGCATTCATGGTTCTCTCAATGAATTGTAGCTCCCCAGTGCTACAGCATTCATGCAGCCCCTGACCATGACACTCCCACCACCATGCCTGACTGTATGCAAGACACAAGTTTGTCTTTGTACTCCTCACCTGGTTGCCGCCACACATGCTTGACACCATCTGAACCATCCATCCATCCATCAATCGTCAACCGCTTATCCTGCTTACAGGGTTGCGGACCATCTGAACCAAATAAGTTTAATTTTGGTCTCATACCACAGGACATGGTTCCAGTAATCCATGTCCTTAGTCTGCTTGTCTTCAGCAAGCTGTTTACAGGCTTTCTTGTGCATGTTCTTTAGAAGAGGCTTCCTTCTGGGACGATAGCCATGCAGATCAATTTGATGCAGTGTGCAGCATATGGTCTGAGCACTGACAGGCTGACCCCCCACCCCTTCAACCTCTGCAGCAATGCTAGCAGCACTCATACGTCTATTTCCCAAAGGCAACCTCTGAATATGACGCTGTGCACGTGCACTCAACTTCTTTGGTCGACCATGGCGAGGCCTGTTCTGAGTGAAAACTGTCCTGTTGAAATGCTGTATGGTCTTGGCCACCGTGCTGCAGCTCAGTTTCAGGGTCTTTGCAATCTTCTCATAGCCTAGGCCATCTTTATGTAGAGCAACAAGTCTTTTTTTCAGATCCTCAGAGAGAGTTCTTTGCCACAAGGTGGGGCGGCTGTGGCTCAGGAGATAGAGCGGGTTGCCCATTAATCGGAAAAAGCACTTTGAGTGGTCGAAAAGACTAGAAAGGCGCTATACAAATACGGAGCATTTGCAGGAGCCATGTTGAACTTCCAGTGACCAGTATGAGAGAGCGATAATACCAAATTTAACACACCTGCTCCCAATTCACACCTGAGACCTTGTAACACTAACAAGTCACATGACACCGGGGAGGAGGCTAATTGGAAATTTCACTTAGTGTACTCACTTTTGTTGTCAGTGGTTTAGACATTAATGGCTGTGTGATATGTTATTTTGAGGGGACAGCTATACAAGCTATAAAAGATACATTTCAAAAATGTATAGATATGTATATATGTATTAGAGTCCGACCAATTTAGATATTAACGGCTGATATAAGCTATTTGCAGATATATCTGCAGATACATCTGCATCGGCATCGGAACCCCACAAAGGATATTATAGCGTTTAAAAGCAGAACCCGTAAAACTTTGAATAATAGCCCGGGCTTTTATTTGCTAAAATCACTGAATTGACCCTGCCTTTGTTTGGGACAGGCGTCCATATGGGACAGGCCTTTGATCATTTTTGCACTAAACTACTGAAACTACTATGAAACAGTTCAATTTATTTCTAACAGAATAATACTTAAAAATTATCAAATAATATCAAATACACGTCATTCATTTGATCTAGCTCCGACAGACTGCTTATGTGCTTTTATTTTGAAGGCAGCAACCTCACGAAAACAACAACATGGTACAGGATGAGTAAAGTTAGCAGACAGAGAGCGATGGACTTCACATGACAGGATTCACAACTTGGATACATTTTTCTGAAAAGCTGTTTTGATTCTTTTGATCGGTGGAGCATTACAGACTAAAGGACTATAAATAATCAAGGAACGGAACCATTCGGACTTAACGAGCGCTTCAAAGTTAGCGTGAGTCAGCACTTTTACCCGTTTTCCTCTCTTGTAGCCATGCAGGTTACACCGGTAAATATAGAAGAATTAGACTTTGGGTCTTGTTGTTTCCGTTAAATGAACTTAACGGTGGTAATGTGGAGAATCTAACCGATCTAACAATGTCCAGCATGTCCATATTGACATATTGATCATACCTTTAGGTTCAAACATTAATATTTGTATCTAACGTTAAGCAGCTTAGAAGCAGCTTAGAAGCAGCTTAAGCGGGCGACCCCGCGGGGTTTAAGAGGTTTTATACATCCAAAGAACTTCTATAAAAACCAGACCAGGCGTTTAATTGAGGCAGGCCTTTATTTGTCAAAATGTGTTCCCACACCAGGCCAGTAAAAGAGGTAGGCGGATATTTGGGACTCGGCTATTAATTGAAATTTTACGGTATTTGGAGGTGCATGCAATTCTTGGCAGGCTTAACTCGGCACAACACCTGTTAGCTCCCTAGCTCATGGTAGCTCTCATACTCACTGTACATGGTTAGTTGTTAATTTGTTTGTCAGCCGTTATCACTTCTCCTCTCCTGAAAACATTCATACCAGACTTGCTAACCCTACCGTTTTTCACTGCACTCTCTCGGGTCACAGCAGGATGTTTCGTTTTACAGTAGGCGAGTGGTGGATGCTAACATTACGCTGACAAACGTGATTGTAGATTTATTCTGAAACAGAGCGGCACTAGTGAACGGTCCTCTCCTTTCTCCCTAGTTCATTACTTCTAAATATTATTTAACAGAACTTACAGCAGATAACGCTACCCGTTGCCAAATTAGCCACAAAGCCACAAATGCCGTGTCTTTCTGTGGAGGAGCGCTAACGTTAATGAGCAGTTAAACTATAGTGTTTGACATATTCTAAATGTATTTGCGAGCGTACAGAACAGACTTGTGAATAAACGTGAGCTGTACAAGAATCTAACACGATCTCCTGCGTGTTCTCTAACGTTGCCTCTTATTTTAAATGTGAAACGTTAGTGTGAAATCTCATAGTTGCAGATCTTCCTTGTAGACAGTCATGTAGTATTAGATTAATTAAACAGCAGCGTTTCCTCTGTGTCACTGTAGCATAGATGATATGTTTTAGAAAGTTGTCATTGTGTCAGATTATATGTAAGGTTAGAACTACTGCATGACAAAAATATGGCAATGACATTAGATATGAAATATGGTATTATTTGTAGTAGTAATAGCAGTAGTAGTATATTGGTAATTTTTATAGTTTACTTTTATATAGTTTTTCTGGCTCCCACAATACATACACTATTTACTTTAATGTTCATTAGTAGTAGTACTCCATAATTTATAACAAATCAGATATTTAAATTTTTTTTTTCTGTAGTTATATTTTTATTTTATAACAATAAAAATGACAACATTTTAGGGATGATCTTTGTTTATATCATGCGTTTCTTAAAATAAGGGGAAAAAACAATATCGGCCGATATATCGGCTATTTAAAAAATGTCAAATATCGAAATCTGTCAGGCTCTATCTAATATGTATAGATATGTGTATACATACACACACAAAGTAGGGAATTTGACTTTTCTAAGTCGAAAATCACTTCTAGAAAATTGTATTTAAAACATCAGGATGAAGCAAAATCTAGACAGTGCCATTTGCAGTGTAGTCACTCTGTAGATGTAGAGTTTCATTTATTGCTTTGAGGACTGTGCCTGATTAGAAGCATAATCATCAGCTCCCCTGCATTTTCTACCCGTTTTTCTTGTCATTTTCTGACAACTTATTCTATACTGTCTTGTTATGAGAGACCTTGTTCACTGTAAACTACTGTGAATATTGAATGTTATACACGTACTTTTAAAGCATGGGCACATACTACTTTGTAGATATGTTTTAGCTAAAAATATTTCTTGTCTTGTCGTGTCTTTTTCTGCAACCAGCTGTTACAGGGAAAGTCCATTCCTAAACTGGGGTCACTGGACCAGATTGAAACAGGAAGTGGAGACACAGAGGGACGTTACAGCGGTGACTGTGATGATGAGGACGGTTGTGGTGGTTCAGGTGGGGGCGAGAATAAGAGGAAAGTCTCCCGAGTCTCCAAATGTAAGTCTCATCTTTTTTTAGTTCTGTTGAGCACTTGATTGAGCGATGGCAACCAGTTGGCCACACAAACACATCTTTAACCAGCAGTCTTTACACATATTTTACCCTAAGGAGGTACAGTTAAATGGCAAGAATATTCCATTCGAGTGGGGAAAAGTATTTATATTGTATAGGATTGGGTGTAATGATTTAGTTTGCTATTTATTGCATTTTGATCTTTTATTTTTATTAATTGTATTAATAGTTGTAGCGTATGTGTCCACCTCCTCAGAGGCAGCAGATGGAAAGTAGCTAGTGGCTAAATCTGGTACAGTGCAAAGCATCTCTTCTCTCTGCATGGGGTTAATGTGTTTTGTACACGGTCCCTGACAAATAAATGTAATAAGCTAAACTAAACAGAGGTTAGTGTATTACTAATAGAGGTTTCAAAACATATAGCCTAACACAGACTTAATTAGTGGTGTAACGGATCGTAGATGATCTGTGATCTGTACAGATCCCCCCCCCCCCGCGGTTTGGCATATAGGTGAACCACAGATTCATTCAAGTTTGACAATCATAGTGTGAATAACTGTTTTACTTTCTGAAACAATGTTCCCTTGCACTCTCCCACATTTCCACCACTGGTTACACTCTTAGACTTAATTAGTGTATGAGGAGAATAATCAAGGTTCAATAAGATCATCAGATCAAAAGTATAAAATAAGACTGATAAACAGCAATGTACCATAACAAGTAATACATTTTACCTACATCACTTTCAAAAATTGAATTAAATTCTACCTTTTTAAAGTTGCAGAATTGAAAAATTAAAACTAGTTTTTGATCAGTGAAGACATTCAAATGCGCAGTTGCATAATACTAAATTATAATAAGACCAGTCTCCATTTTATGACAGCCATAATAATAGTCATTAAAGATAATAGTTGCTATGGGGACATTATTGCAATCAAGGCCCGTTACTTTAAAAATTATTGCTCCCCAGAGGATCCGTAACCCCTAATGAATCACAGCAGCAGAGCTCTCCTCTTCATTTTGCTACCTTTCACATTCTCCTCTCCTCTCAACACATGGATTCCTCCTCTCCTCTACTCCAAACATGCTAACAACCTGATTAATCACCTTTCTCATTTTGCCTTCAGCGACAGCGGGGGGGGGGGGGGGTCATCCAAACAAGTCGTTCTATCCGTGTAAATGTTTCCTTTATTGCTTGTCAGTCTGTCTCAAGGCTTTAGCAGCTCAGGCTCAGGGAAGCTGCTTAACAATCGCTCATCTGAGCCTGTAAGGAGCATCTGACATTTATCACCCATTACAGTAGAGCCGCCCTTTCCTTATCATAGGCCAGATCAGCCTGTCTCCCATATTTATGACCCGCTGTCTGTTGTGACCTCTGTCGAGCATTTCTCCCCTGCTGCCTGACCCTCTCAAATACTGAGGATTCCCCACCTGAACCAGAGCTCTGGTCAGTCCCTGTAGGATTCTGCAGTTTTGTTTTTTACAATTATTGTTACATTATTTTTGTGGCTGTTTGGTGTTGGTATTTTTCTTTTGGTTTTTATTGTTGTAGTAGATTTGAATTAATTCGAAGAATTTGCAAGCCAAGGGGGCGGCGAGGTGGTGCAGTGATTAGCACCGTCTCCTCACAGCAAGAAGGTTGTGGGTTCAAACCCCAGTTACCCCGGCCTTTCTGTGTGGAGTTTGCATGTTCTCCCCGTGTCTGCGTGGGTTCTCTCCGGGTGCTCCGGCTTCCTCCCATCATCCAAAGACATGCAGGTTACCCTGGTTACCCTAAATTGTCCTTAGGTGTGAGTGTGAGCGTGAGTGGTTGTTCGTCTATGTGTGGCCCTGCGATGGACTGGCGACCTGTCCAGGGTGTACCCCGCCTTGCGCCCGATGTCTGCTGGGATTGGCTCCAGCCCCCCCGCGACCCTGTATGCAGGATAAGAGGTTGACAATGGATGGATGGTTGGGGGGCGGTGCGGTGGTTCAGTGATTAGCACCGTCTCCTCACAGAAAGAAGGTTGTGGGTTCAAACCCCAGTTACCCCGCCTTGCGCTCGATGTCAGCCCCCCCGCGACCCTGTATGCAGGATAAGCGGTTGATGATGGATGGATAGATGCAAGCCAAGGATACAGCAGCACTAAAACATAATGTTTTATTTCTCTTTCTTACTGGAAAAGAGTGTTACTTAGTATAAAGCTGATTCAAAGTACAGCAAAGTACTTATCTATTATAGTTTAGATACAGAAAAAAAGGAAAACTGCTCTTGGGCTTGAGTCTTAATTGGAGCTTACCTTTATAAAACAAATTAAATCAGTCCTTCTAATCTTTTCCTTGAAGATAAAATTGGGTAATATTGGTGTTTATCTGCAGGCACTTTTTAAATAGAAGGTATAATATTGGAGGTTTAATTCAAAACACCTCTTCAAACTGTAGGAGTGAATAAAAGCCACAGATAAACAAGCAACCCACTGTCGTCTGAATCATTCTCCATCATCATTGTTTGTAACCAATGTAGACTTTCAGACGCTAACTTGAGTATGGCACTGGTTAATAAACACGTGTTAAACCCTCATTGTACCAATCCAACACTTAGTCATTACCATTCACACATAACCAAGTCTGCTAATGTGGTTTGCAAACGGAATTGTCAGAGGGTATATAAAGGCTCACTTTCTACAATAATTGTGTGGAGTGATAATAATTTCGCCCTAAGGGGACAATAAGTATGTCTCTTCAGAAATGCTTGTTGGATGATTGAATAGCTTAGGAAACCCGCTCCCCCCACACCTTTTTGATGTCGGATTGGGGGGCTGTCGCCGACAATTTCTGTAACTTTCCAAAATCGACATCAGATATTCACACTCAGTTCACACAGTGGCTGGCCAGCTGTGAACTTCTCTTTCTAGCTTCTAGCCACTATTTGTGGCACAAAATGTGCACTGTTATCCCCATTAAACAAGATCATGTACTGTTACTCCCCTCGCGGTGATGGTTAGCTCACTCTACTTTTTCTCATTTCAACAACCGTGCACTGAGCTCTGCGTTTATTTCAGTTTATTTAGTACAACAAATAGATCCATCCATCCATCCATCCATCTTCATCCGCTTATCCAGAATCGGGTCGTGGGGCAACAAATAGATGCAGACAGAAAATAAAAAAAAAAATTTCATGGTGGACTGCTGAGGATGAATTTAGAAGTCTCAGTACCTAAGGGAAGACGCTGCTCTGAAGTCTGGTGGTGTGACAGCGGATGCTTCTGTATCTTACCAGACGGCAGCGGGTTGAACAGACTGTGGCTGGGGTGGATGCTGTCCTTTAGTATTCTTTGGGCTCTGCTCAGGCTGCTACAATTGTTTCTGAGGTTTCTTTACAAGCATTTTCTGTAATGCTGATTCCCAGGAACCTAAATTTGTTCACCTGGTCCACCTCAGCTCCACCGCTAGAGACATGAGACATGTCTTTTCCTCCTTATTCCTAAAATCAGGGATCAGCTGCTTGGTTTTGCTGACGCTGAGCAGTAGGTTGTTCCTGATATGAAGTTTCATCGTTAGGGGCAGACTGGCTATCGGGGCTTTCAGGAAGACTCATTAATGGCAGGTCCATTCCATTCCAGGTCGGTCAGCTGCTGTGTGTGTGTGTCAGACTGGGCCAAACTAATACTTTCAATATTTTGAGGGTATGCGAGCGGCCCCTCCCATCTTAGACTGATTTTGTTTTGCTGAAATCTGATGGGCTCACAGGCGCTGATCAGAGCAGTTTACTTTCCATCAGGTTTGTGTAACAATTGCAACATAAGCGTTAAATATGTCGAAAAGAAGGGAGATGGTAGTGGTGGAACAGTAACCGGTACAGGGGCAGTGTTCAGGGCTAGTTATGCATGATATTATGCATAGATAGAATTAGAAAATGGATCATTGTTAATCATATTTATTACTGATGTTCTTCTCATGCATATGTAGCTGTATAATCAGTACAAGCAGAGGCAGGGTCCAGCACAGGGGAAGCTGAGCAGGGAGAGTTGAAGGCAAGGGCTTTGATTTTTATGCACACATACTCACTGCTCTATTTTATGAGACTGCATTGTACTTTTTGATTCTATTTTTTATATATTGAGTATGTGAATGTGTATGTGTGAGCTTCTGTAACTATTTCAGCACTCTGACTGACTGTACACATGACATGTTGGTAGTTAGCAGTATGTGCTGTGACTTAAGTGTTCCAGCTTAGGCTTGCCTGACGTGGTCTTGCTCAGTGCAGTTGTGACTTGCTTATACAAATTGAGGAGGCAGGTGTCATCCTAAAGTTTTTTGAAGGTCTGATGAAATCTGATTCTCTTTATACCACAAAACACTGTTTTATTATAATAAATTATTCAAATAACTGCAAATAATCTTTTTGCTTGCGCCCCAAGGGCGCTCACATAAAAGGCCTCTCTGTCATAATGTCTCGTTCTGAATTTTAGTCCCAGTACATCCCTGCTCATTGTTGTTTGAAATCCATCTGATGATGGTGGTGTCGTTCGCAGTTGTAGGTGTAAAGCATGAACAGGAGGGGGCTGAGCACACAGCTCTGGTGTTGACCAATCCAAACAGTCTGGTTATTGTTGTAACATTTCAACCCCGAACACATTTCCCTAAACCTAATCAAGTTGTGTTTGTGCCTAACCCTAATCAAACCATAACCATCATAAAACAGATAAAAAAAATGTATTAACAGTAATTTGTATCAGTTTTGGAAGGTCACGTCATCCTGCCTATAGGGCTGTCAGATCAGAAATAGTCTCTATGCATTGTTCTAGAGAACACGGACAAACAACATATTTTGTCATTATTTGGAGGACTGCATTAGTCCATGTCTCTGTACTCCCCCTCTGACAAGCTCATGTTAGATAAGACTCTTGAGAATGGCAACCTTAACACTGTCAACTTCTGGTCTTTGGTTCAGTATGAAATAGAACAGAAACAGAAAGTACAATGATCAGCTTCTGTGTTGGCAG